ATAGATGATGAGTTTTTGCAATGTACGCACATGCCGATAGCCATAAATGTTAGCAGAGTTGAAGTGAGTCACGGTTTGCCAATACTTCATGAAGTTATTTTCCACAAGTTGCGCACTTGACAATTATTGGTAAAACTGTGCTGAGTTGGGTTAGTTACAATGGCTGACACCAACCAACTAGACTGGCATGTGGCTCAATGTTGCCATTTGCTTGCTGAGAGGCTGAACATGATACCCTCAGTGGCGAGGGTTCCCTGACTGGGGACAGTGTTAGAGTAATGGGGAAGCTCCAGTGTTGAGGCATCTGATGGCTTCTAGACACTGATGACAGATGCTGGATGCGTAATGATGATGTATGCAAACCTCATAAGCAGTAATGGAGAAACTTGTAGATACAATTCCATCACTTCTGATGTTTAGATCATGTTGTCCTTCATTCCATAACTGATGTTAGGCCATAATAAATGAACTATTAGATATTCATCCAGGCCTGACTCACTACAAAACACTCTGCCTCATATCATTTGTCCCCAAGCACTTTCGTGAGGTGTTAATTTATTCCATTCTTTCTCACTTGATGTATATCCAAATATTCACTATATCCACTGTCCCAACAAACAGTCATGCTTCATTTGAGTCATTAACAATTCACAATTTATCTACACAGAAGACTTGATTTGAATTTTTTTATTGGTATAAAATACTGATAATTGATTTATTTTGTCCAAACGGCAAATCTGAAAACCAGAAGCTGAAAGGGCATGTTGAAGACAATAGGCTGGAATAAAGATCAGAATAAAAATTATTAATGTAACATTTTCATTCTAAAGGAAATGGTATTGACTAATTATTTTTATCTTTCTTAGCAAAGATGTTAAAACAATCTGAACAATTGACTACATCATACAAGCGAATAATGCACTCTAAACATTCCTCCATGATCAGCATGCATTGGGGTTTAGTGGTTTGAAGAATATTTCAGTTATGTTGTGGCTTGTCAGCTTAATGTAGGACTAACGCCCCAGGGAATCCACATCTCAGACATGGAACACTGTGGTGCAGTCCCCAAGCATGGGTACATGGTACTGGCTGACTAACAGTCATCAGCAGAGTGAACCTACGATTCCAAACCCACAACCTACAAAGGGAAGCTACTCTGCACAGTGAATTGTTGGGCCTAACACAACTGAGCCATACATTCCCAAAGCTCTCTATTGTCAGAGGATGCATAATGTGACATGCAGGATGTAGATGGGATTTCATATTATTGAGGCATAATTTGTTATTCCGTTAGAGTGATCACTCCAAACCAACACAGCAGGATGATTTTACTAGATTAAAAGGGTTTAGTGTCTCACAAAAACACGGGACACAAAAAGCTGAATGAATTGTGTCAGCGGTTATTGCCTTGAAGTACAGGCAGGGGTAGATGCCTGAATTTCAGATTGGTGGCAATATGTAACAATACTAGATATCAGAGAAGTAACTCGTCAAGGTTATTCCTGTTTCTCTGAGGAGCACCTGTGTTTAACCCAGCATGGGTGAGTGAGTTGGGTTTAGTGTCACTTTCAGAAGCATCTCAGTTCTTTTACACAGTGTCCACAATGTAAGAGGAAAACCAAAGTGAAGCAGATCTTGAACATTTACCACTTTGGTGAAACCCACAAACATGGGTATGGTGCTGACAAACCATGGATCAGAATCTAGGATTCAAACAATAATCAGATCCTGGCACAGCTAAGGGATGCAACTGTGCACAACTAATTGATGAGTTTGAAAAGCACATCAATCATCAATGGAAATACTTGTTCCAGATCCAGGCTGGAGGTGCAAATTAGTCGAGTTGAAATAACGCTTTCAAAAATCACAAAGTGCAGGCTATCCATTTGTAGCTGCTGCCTTATGGCTTTTGTAATCTGTTCCACTTTCCAATATTGCCAGTTTCTTTGTAGTGGTAACACTATACACCTGACAGAGATCTCAATCTGCACACACAAGTGATCTACATTTCAGATGACAAACTTACAATTCAATTTTTAAAATTGACATTAATCCTTAATTTACTTGAGGAAGCTGATGGGCACACAATGCAAACAATGAGTTCATGATTTAAACATCCTGAGGAAAATGACTAGCTATCATGTGGACTCATTACTCATCATGTCCTGTACCTACTCGGTGGGAAGCATCTGACATCTCAATGCGGATATATTCTGTCCGGAAAGTCAGCTCCCTTCCGCCACCAGCACAAATGTCTTTTATTGTACAGTGCTCCACTGATTCAATTAATTATTATATACTTGGTCATAGACTTGAAAAGAAGGTGCTGTATAATGGAAGCATTGTTGTTTTAGTGGATGAATTGATGTCTAATCAGAATGCGATGGCTAGAAAATAAATGTGGTTGACACTCCATACTTCTAGAGGCTGGCAGGACAGGAAAGAAGGATGTTGTAATGAATCTGTCTAATCCATACGTGGAAAGAAAGAGTGTATTGAGCAAACTCTGGGATGCTAGATGGCAGAAAAAGACAGGTCTCTCTAATATAGACAGGAAACCCTTCTCAGAGAACACAGCTAAGGACGTCTTGCAGCATGAAGTTCAACACAAGGAATAAAACTGCCTGCTTGTCAATCATTCCTATATTCCATCTTTGAATACACATTTTAAATTATACAAGAATCCTCTGGGAATTTAGCTTGTTTATTCCTTGTAGAAAGTAACTCATATCAAGCACCAATACTTATATTGACGTTTATTGGGACACTTTTCAAAATTAAATAATTTCTATGAGGTCTTTGTAAATTTAATTATTGAGCGTTGGGCTATAGGGCTGGTGTCAGACTCTCAACCTGATTGCATCAGCAGAACACATTCATTTCTGCCACTGCAAGTCAAATTATCCAATATGAAATTAAGAAGATTGATCAGAATGAGTTGAAACACCATATGTACTGTAGTGTGTTACTAATCATATTTCCGAAGGTTCAGATTGTGGTCGCGGAGGAAGTCGTTTATTTTAAAGGCACACAGATACTGTCCATGTTAAATTTTCAAGTTATGTAAGTAATGTGTTTTTTAATTTCAAAAAGCCAAAGCCTCCTGGGAAAACTGGATATTTAGAAACGTGTGGAATAAGTATTGATGTACCTTTTGAATGGTCATTTTACTACAACTGAAATTGTCAGTTGTTCATCTGAAGCTGATATATACAACACAAAAGAAGTAAGGGATCATGAATATTTTTGAGGATATCTTTATGAAATTGTGTGCTCAGTTTTCATAACAAAAATATCCCCCAAACACTGATGATCCCTAACTTTACTGAATAGTATTAGTTGTCTGCTGCAATGTGAAGTTTTCAATCCCAACCAACCAGATTGCACTATGCTTCATGAATACACATCATCTATAAAGTATGCAGAGAAAGGCAGACATTTTTCAAAATAAAAGTAAAAGCATTTTCTTACATGCCAGTATCAAATCATTCAAAAGGTTTAGGCATTTGATAATGTTGGAAACAATAACTAGTCCTTTTATATGAAAGTGTCCTGTTTGTTTGACAAGAACTCTCCCCTCTTCCAGCTCAGAAAAGACACTATATTTAGCAGATCACAAATGTGATTTTAAAAAGTAAGGAAAATTCATTCAATGATAGAGAAATTCAAAAGGGCATAAAGAATGGTGGAAAATTGTAATCAAAACCAGGCACCAATGGCTCGCTTGCACTAAAAGACCAACTACAGCGTTGTTCTCTGGGATGTTTTGTTCATACAATTTATCTTAATATAAAAAAACTAAAATGATGTTTGATGTATAAAGTGTAATGAATATTAAACTGATTTCTTCAATCTTTCATTCATTGACGGACAAAAAAGTGAAGCAAGTGTGTTTGACAAATGCAAATGCTTCAACTTAATTCATTGCAATTTAGTTCGTATTTTTTCACAACTTTTTAAAGAATCTAACCCTCACCCCGTAAGTGAACAACCACCACCAACCTTGCATGAACCATGGTTAGAATGCTGTCATCAGAGCAGTCCTTGTAATGCTGTAACCATGTTGGGATGTTACCACCAAACTAGCCCCTGGTCAGGATGTTACCACCAAAATAGCCCCTAGTCAGGATGTTACCACCAAACTAGCCTCTAGTCAGGATGTTATCATCAAACTAGCCTCTAGTCAGGATGTTACTGCCAAACTAGCCCCTGGTCAGGATGTTACCACCAAACTAGCCCCTAGTCAGGATGTTACCACCAAACTAGCCCCTGGTCAGGATGTTACCAACAAACAAGCCCCTAGTCAGGATGTTACCACCAAACTAGCCCCTAGTCAGGATGTTATCATCAAACTAGCCTCTAGTCAGGATGTTACTGCCAAACTAGCCCCTGGTCAGGATGTTACCACCAAACTAGCCCCTAATCAGGATGTTACCACCAAAATAGCCCCTAGTCAGGATGTTACCACCAAACTAGCCCCTGGTCAGGATGTTACCACCAAACTAGCCTCTAGTCAGGATGTTATCATCAAACTAGCCTCTAGTCAGGATGTTACCGCCAAACTAGCCCCTAGTCAGGATGTTACCACCAAACTAGCCCCTGGTCAGGATGTTACCACCAAACTAGCCCTTAGTCAGGATGTTACCACCAAACTAGCCCCTAGGCAGGATGTTACCACCAAACTAGCACCTTGTCAGGATGTTACCATCAAACTAGCCCCTAGTCAGGATGTTACCACCAAACTAGCACCTATTCAGGATGTTACCACCAAACTAGCCCCTAGTCAGGATGTTACCACCAAACTAGCCCCTAGTCAGGATGTTACCACCAAGCTTGCCCCTGGTTAAGATCTTACCACCAAGCTTGCCCCTGGTTAGGATGTTACCACAAAATGTGTGTCTTGTTAGGATGTTACCACAAAACGTGTGTTTGGTTAGGATGTTAGAAGGATGAAGGCAGATAAGTGTGGAAGCAATGAGTGTCAGTTTAGAAGTACTTACCCGTGGCTTGCCTGCCTGGAAGGGGTAGATCATGAGGCCATTAAGTCATAACACATTTCTAAACCATTGTTGTCAAGAGATATCACATCTTCCTTTGAAAGGAGACAGCTGAACAATCACAATATCCAGAAGAACATCTCTCTGATATATATGTGTACTTAAAATAATAATCTATGAAACAAGGTCATCACAAAAATGTACCTAAAACGAATAATGTGTCAAAGATATCCTGAAAACAAAGAGTCAGTAAAGGAGATATTTCTTCAATGTCATCAATATTCCTGGTGACATTCAGAGCAATATTGTATAAGAATAGCTACATGTGTTGTGAGGACCTCTTAGAGGACTAAAGGCTACTAAACTGCAGCAATAGTATTGTCAGATGAAACACTATTGCTACACTATTGCTGTAGTGGAACATGTATAATAAAAGTATGTGTCAGATGAAACACTATTGCTGTACTGGAACATGTATAATAAAAGTACTGTGTCAGATGAAACACTATTGCTACACTATTGCTGTTGTGGAACATGTATAATTAAAGTACTGTGTCAGATGAAACACTATTGCTACACTATTGCTGTCGTGGAACATGTATAATTAAAGTATTGTGTCAGATGAAACACTATTGCTACACTATTGCTGTAGTGGAACATGTATAATAAAAGTACTGTGTTAGGAGAAAACACAATTGCTGTAGTGGAACATTACTATCATAAAAGTATTGTGTTAGGTGTAAACACTAAATGCTACAAGTATTATGTTCCCCAAGCAAGGTGAAGTTTGCATCAAAACAAATGGAAAGTTTCATAATGGTTCACAGTGCATGTTTTTTCCCTCTGATTGTGTCAGATGATACAACAGATAAGTGTAGAGCAACATCAATGATAACTATAAATATCTTAAGCTGTATTGCTATAAGGCCATGGTAACAATTGTGACTTGTCAATAATTTGATAATCATAAAGCCCAAATGTCTTCACTTTATATTTTATTGAACACCCATAATTATCTCTTGACCTATTGATATTAAACAAATGTCTTCAAAGCATTGGTTTGGTTAATTAAATATTATTTTCTAATTCAGTGGATTTCAGTAAATATTAATTAAGACATAATGTTGAGGCTGTATTATGGGTGTTAAAAGACTTAAAAGAATTAATTAATATTAAAATATCAGACAAACAGTTTATTACCTATACAAAAAGAATGTATAGTCTTTAAACCACAATTTTGTAGTTTCAAAATAATAACAATGAGTTTCTGGAGGATGTCAGAGCAATTTTAATTTTCCAATGTTGAGAAAGCTTCCAAACCTATCAAGATATGAGAGATAAATTGAGCAATCAAACAGATTTTTTTTCAGAAGGTGGCTGTTTTACAGCCTGGGCAATGTTGTGGAAAGAGGCCATTACTCAACACAGCAGGTTCTGCAGAAACGCTCTACAACGACCTTGATTATTGATGACAAATCACCCCGTGAAGGACAACAAGTGGTTTGTAGAAATAACACTATTTGTGTTGCACTACGATGTGGGGACCAAGATGGGATTTTTGATACAATCTTCTGTCACAAATATTTCACGACTGTATTGGTTATCCTCAAATATTTGAGAATGTTGTGAGCAAATTTCAATTAAAAAAACCTATTCTTTCACAGGTTCTTCATTTTTGGTGGTTAAGACTACAAAAGATCAACTACAAAGCTGTCATTATTGGGTGACATTGAATAATAGTTTGGTCATCTGACAGAGAGGGTGAGTGAATTCTTGTCACTTTGACTGTAAACTTTCAGTGCTACCATAAAACATATCAGTTATACTACTGGAATTGAAAACAAGACCCTTTGGTCCTGACAGCCATCTGAGTCAGGGAGTTAGTATGGTTTTACGCTGCTTTTAGCAATATCCCAGGAAGATGATGGTAGGAGACACCAGAAATGGGCCATCAGCCTGGAGAGTGAACATGTTAACCATATGGCCAATGTTTTTCCCACCCAAGGGAAGGAACAGTAAGTTCTACAGCTCCTTAATACCTATGTTCCGTCACCCACAAACCATAACCGGGAATAGGTATCACTGACTTGATCTATCCGAAGCTGTCATTTAGCTGGAAATTTGCTGAGTGCGGCGTTAAACAACAAACAAACCACCATAAAAGTCACTGTGCATATATTTATTTTATGCAACCACCAACTTCCTAAACAAATAAAATACTGAAATAAAATATAATATATGAGAGAAATTGCATCAATGAGTGCATTTAATGCTCTAACTCCCTAAATGAAATATGCCTTTACTGTTGATCCTGGTCGACATGCCAGATTTTCTCATCAATTACCCCATTAGAGACATGTCTCCATTATCACTGATCCTACACAGCTGATTCCACCATTTGTTAATGACATTCTTGCCGGACCGCCATACATCTAGCAAATCAACAAATCAATGCAAAATGTTTCATGTAAATTTGTTTGCAAACCATCATGGCACAAAATGGATGAAGATGGCCAAATTACAAACATTTGGGAGTAGAAAAGGACATAAAGAGTATAATTGCATCTGATTTGTCAACAGAGGACTACCAGCGTCTTTGCACGCCTCTCAAGAGCAACAAATACGCAGAGTGGTGACAGAATCCGTCAGTTTAGTAAGGAAAGCCAATCTCCAGGGTACAGCCTTCAATGGTAAAGCTTCAAAAGGAGGAAAGATGGCTGCAGTTGCTTCTTGACAGACTATCCTCCTGACAACTACTGGTCATTTGCAATGTCCTGGGAATCATCACCCCACCCTAATTCATCTCAAATCTGTGGATTGACAACATAACCCTGAAATGCCTTTTTGATGGAGTGGATGTTTCCAAGAAAATGTCTCACAAGTCATCTGTGTTACCAGATTAGAGGAGATCCTTCTCACTGACAATAACATTTACATTGACAACACTGACACCTACCATCAGTCTTCAGGAAAACGCTATGAAATACTCTCTGAATATCATGAAGCACCTGACAGGGACTTCGTTTCAAACCATGTATTAGCCTGTGTCAGTTTCCAGTGGATTATTATCGTGGGGAGTGATATAACGACATGGTGTTATATTGTTATTCACATTCTCAACACTGATAAAAGAGTTTGTAAAAGTTGTAAAGATTGTCTCAGTTGATTTCTTATTTAATCATTACAGTGATTTCAGTGATCAAAGGAAACTACGTTTTTTTACTAATCAGTTTACTGTCAACAGCTGCGAAGACAACAGCCCTGGAGTTCTGCACTGACAAAGAATTGTGAAGTAAGATGCATGCAATAGCAAGAAATGGTCATGTCATTTCAGTAAACGTGAATAAGAAATAGTTTGCCAATTGTTTTATGCTGTAATTGTTGAAATTTGTCTCTTTATTATCAAAAGCAGACCATATAAAGAGCACATCTTTCCTTCCAATTAAGGTTCAATGGTGCCAAGTTTACCTTAAACTCCCCGAGGAAGTCCACGGAGCAGGGTAGAACCGCTGTCTGTCCTGTCACCACTGTCACGTTCTTCGCCACAACATTAAACCTTGGTTCCACACCTTTTGCTGAAAAACAAAATGCATCATATTACTTCAAAGTGATATAGAAGTTTCTACTTACAGGCAAAATCTACATTAATTATAGCACTGTAAGTAAGGCAAGCTTGACCCATTAGGCCACTTAGTAACACAGCCCATTGAACAGGTCTCTTTCAGCAATATTCTAGCAATATTATGGCAGTGGATATCAGAACTATCAAACCAATGAACCAACAGTCTACTGGGGTAAACAGACCTTGAAACCAATAAACCAACAGTCTACTGGGGTAAACAGACCTTGAAACTAATGAACCAACAGTCTAGTGGGGCAAACAGACCTTGAAACCAATAAACCAACAGTCTAGTGGGGCAAACAGACCTTGAAACCAATAAACCAACAGTCTACTGGGGTAAACAGACCTTGAAACTAATGAACCAACAGTCTACTGGGGTAAACAGACCTTGAAACTAATGAACCAACAGTCTAGTGGGGTAAACAGACCTTGAAACCAATAAACCAACAGTCTACTGGGGTAAACAGACCTTGAAACTAATGAACCAACAGTCTAGTGGGGCAAACAGACCTTGAAACCAATAAACCAACAGTCTAGTGGGGCAAACAGACCTTGAAACCAATAAACCAACAGTCTAGTGGGGTAAACAGACCTTGAAACTAATGAACCAACAGTCTACTGGGGTAAACAGACCTTGAAACTAATAAACCAACAGTCTACTGGGGTAAACAGACCTTGAAACTAATGAACCAACAGTCTAGTGGGGCAAACAGACCTTGAAACCAATAAACCAACAGTCTAGTGGGGTAAACAGACCTTGAAACCAATAAACCAACAGTCTACTGGGGTAAACAGACCTTGAAACCAATAAACCAACAGTCTATTGGGGTAAACAGACCTTGAAACCAAGAACAAACAGGTTACAATGAAACCCATGTCACCTCAGATGAGGGGCAGCTTTGGTTATAGGCCACTGACATAGCACATTCACCTAAAACAGTATATCTTCTATCAGATTATTAAGCTCTCTGGGGATGTAGATTATGGTATAATATATTCTCGCAGATGAACTTTATCAATAAACACTACCTAAATAGTGTAACTACAGTCCCTACAAGTCACAAGATTAATGTCAATGGCTTATTGGGTACAACTGCAGCTGTTCTGCTGAGAAAGGTTGGTTATTCCCTTCTGACCCAATTTCTCAACCACAACCACCGCTTTTGAAAATTAGCCAGCAATTTAGCACCAGTCAATAACATTAAGGGAATTACACATAACTCAGTGATGTCCTTGCCAAGCAATGTCTGGTATGTGTCTTCATTTCTACTGAACCATGGTGGTCAATTCAGGAGCCACAGTGGTCGTGAGAGGGACATGGTTGTTTGGAGTACTAAATGATTGTGTTCTGTAGGACATTGCAGTCTCAAGAGGGACATGGCTGTCTTCAGTAGGACATTGCAGTCTCAAGAGGGACATGGCTGTCTTGAGTAGGACACTGCAGTCTCAAGAGGGACATGGCTGTCTTTAGTAGGACATTGCAGTCTCAAGAGGGACATGGCTGTCTTTAGTAGGACATTGCAGTCTCAAGAGGGACATTGTTGTCTTTAGTAGGACATTGTTGTCTCAAGGGGGACATGGCAATGTCTTGAGTGGGATGTGGTTGTCTTGAGTGGGACATGGTTGTCTTGAGTGGGACATGGTTGTCTAAGTGGGAAATGGTTGTCCTAAGTGGGACATGGTTGTCTTGAGTAGGACATGGTTATCTTAAGTGGGATATGGTTGTCTTCAGTAGGACATGGTTGTCTTGAGTGAGATATGGTTGTCTTGAGTAGGATATGGTTGTCTTGAGTGGGACATGGTTGTCCTAAGTAGGACATGGTTGTCTTAAGTAGGACATGGTTGTCTTGTTTCGGATGTCGTTGTCTTGAGTAGGACATGGTTGTCTTGAGTGGGATATGGTTGTCTTCAGTAGGACATGGTTGTCTTGAGTGGGATATGGTTGTCTTCAGTAGGACATGGTTGTCTTGAGTGGGACATGGTTGTCTTGAGTGGGATATGGTTGTCTTGAGTGGGATATGGTTGTCTTGAGTGGGATATGGTTGTCTTGAGTGGGATATGGTTGTCTTGAGTAGGACATGGTTGTCTTGAGTGGGACATGGTTGTCTTGAGTGGGATATGATTGTCTTGAGTGGTATATGGTTGTCTTGAGTGGGATATGGTTGTCTTGAGTGGGACATGGTTGTCTTGTTTCGGATGTTGTTGTCTTGAGTAGGACATGGTTGTCTTGAGTGGGATATGGTTGTCTTGAGTAGGATATGGTTGTCTTCAGTAGGACATGGTTGTCTTGAGTGGGACATGGTTGTCTTGAGTGGGACATGGTTGTCTTGAGTGGGACATGGTTGTCTTGAGTGGGATATGGTTGTCTTCAGTAGGACATGGTTGTCTTGAGTGGGACATGGTTGTCTTGAGTGGGACATGGTTGTCTTGAGTGGGATATGGTTGTCTTGAGTGGGATATGGTTGTCTTCAGTAGGACATGGTTGTCTTGAGTGGGACATGGTTGTCTTGAGTAGGATGTGGTTGTCTTGAGTGGGATATGGTTGTCTTGAGTGGGACATGGTTGTCTTGAGTAGGATATGGTTGTCTTCAGTAGGATATGGTTGTTTTGAGTGGGACATGGTTGTCTAAGTGGGAAATGGTTGTCCTAAGTGGGAAATGGTTGTCTTGAGTAGGATATGGTTATCTTGAGTGGGATATGGTTGTCTTCAGTAGGATGTGGTTGTCTTGAGTGGGATGTGGTTGTCTTGAGTGGGATATGGTTGTCTTGAGTAGGACATGGTTGTCTTGAGTGAGATATGGTTGTCTTGAGTAGGACATGGTTGTCTTGAGTGAGATATGGTTGTCTTGAGTAGGATATGGTTGTCTTCAGTAGGACATGGTTGTCTTGAGTGGGACATGGTTGTCTTGAGTGGGATATGGTTGTCTTGAGAGTTGGACATGGTTGTCTTAAGTAGGACATGGTTGTCTTGTTTGGGATGTAGTTGTCTTGAGTGGGACAGGGTTGTCCTGTGACATCAGGTAAGATGAAATACTATCATCCAGGTTACACATTGTGACAACAATTCTAATTGAAGTCAATATATATGAATGAAGAGGCTATAAAGTACATTGGAAACTATGTGTCTAATTTTGATAAATAATTACAGCAGTTTAGGTAAGGTGAAATTGGGTTTAACATCGCGTTCAAGATTGTTGCACTCATATAGAGATGTGCATGTATGTGTGTGTGTGTGTCTTCTTGTACCAGTTTGGACTAATGCCGAAAAATAGTGCTAGCCTACTGAGATACCATGCTGCAGCTAAACACGAATACCCCACTCAGACACAGTATACTGACTCCAAGCCAACCAACTCTTGTTTTGGCCCCGTAATGCCTAGCGCAGGGTTACAAGTACCATTTTTAATGTCTTCACATGTGTCGCGGCAGGGGGGATTGAACCCCTAAACCTTCTGCTCTCTGGGCGAATGCTCTACCACTAGACCATGGAGAAGATCTTACAGGAGTTTAATGGAGCTTGTTTCTCATGAGTTCATCTACAAACATCTGTCAACTGTTAATTAGCATAATGAGTACAATTATTATAGTTATTGGCTGTACCATGGTGAGATGGTAATGGGGTTGTTGTCCTGTGTAGGAATGCTAAGTAGAGTGATTACAGTACCATATTTTCTTGACCATGGTGTGCACACCTCAATACGATGCGATATTTTGTGGGGAAAATATTCCAGTCAAAAACTACATCATACTACCTAATATGAATGAAATGAAGATAACAAATTTGGTCAATGAAAATACAATACTTGCTATAAAACAAGACCTGAAATGGTAATTTACCATTTCAATTGTATTTCCTGTTAGGCATTTTTTTATATGTAGGGATGAAGATTGCCATGTGTATTTGTCTCAGTAACCAGCCTGGAAATAACAATCAACTGTTCACATATTTTCTCACAGATCTGTCAGTGATTCAGTGAAACCCAATAACATAACTAAAAAAGAATTTTGATGCAATGATTAGAAGAAATTGTATCTAAAACTACTATTTTACCAGGAATAACAAATTCCAATATCGTGTTATTTTAGTTGCACGTTTTGCTTTATATATTTAAAACAAAGACAAAGTCATCAAAATCCCCTACAATGGTGAATACTTGTGAATAAACATATGAAAATGGATGCCATGTAAACTTTTAAAATATTAATCTAAAACATCCCAAACCATCAAAAGGCACAAATTTACAACTGGTCCTATCCATATGCCAAGTTTTGGTAAAAGAATATTGTACGGTTTTCAAGATCTGCTCCTGGAATGAATACTACCACCATTTCCAGCCTGAGTAAAAGTACCTGCCTAGGTAACTCAAAAAATATTTTTTCTTTTGAAAATCCCAAACTTTGTAAAAAGACACCAGTTTACCACTAGATCTATCTATGTACCAAGTTTGCTGAAGAAATATTGTACGGTTTTCAAAATCTGCCCCGGAAATGACTTCTTGCACTGACGGCTACACAGACAGCTTGGGATGTCCATTTAATACCCCCTGCAAAACATGTTGCGGGGGATAAAAATAAAAACCATAAGCATAGCACTTTGGTACAACTGATTCATATTTAATAATTTGTTGATTGCATGTCATTGTACCCAGCTCAGGTTTGGAGCATTTTTATCCCCCTGCATATAATGCAGGGGGATATAGTCGACGCCTCATCTGTCTGTCCATCCATGCTTCTGTCTGTCCATCATTTCATTTCTGAAACGTAACTCAAAAACTGCTCAATATTTTTCAACAAAACTTGGCAGATCCTGAAGTGGTGCCTTTTGCTATTTGCAGATTTGGGGCATCTATGGGGTCTTTTCCGGAGCACAAAGGCTGAAGTGGTGCCTTTCGCTATTTAGGAATTTTAAAAAAAATTGTGTTTCCATGGCAACAAGTTTGACTTTGACTGTTC